CTCAGGTTAGGTCACTGGTGTGGTAAACTTGAATAAGCTTCTTGGTTTGCTTGGCAGGTCCTGTGTTGTGTGGAGGATAGGTAAACAAATAGGTTTTCTGGCTGGATATGGATCTAGAATTCACTCATGCTGTTGGTCCTCAAACTGATGGGCTTCAGAATCACCTGGGGAACTTGATTGACATAATATATTTTGAAAGTCCATCCCCAGAAATTCCAAGTCAGGAAGGAGATGGAAAGTCTTCATTTACTGTGTACCTCAGGTGACCTGGGCTTGATGTAGTCCTCAGACCTAGACTTAGCAAGTTTCAGGTCTAATTCTGGCTGGGGTGAATTAGTACTTGCAGGTCCCTTCTGGCTTTGTAACTCGAGCTAATCAACGTGTTGTTTTTTATTTCTGACCTGCAAAACAGGGATGACGGCCTTGGCTGAAGTGCCTCCCTCACTGGGTGCTTGTTGGGATCAGAATGAACTGACAAAGCAAACATGATGTTAGACAGTGGCTTCTAACATGGCTGCTTCAGATCAGTCCGAAATTCTGTTTCTAGATAAGAAAATCTTAGGGCAGAGTTTTTGTATCCTGAGAATTTAGGAGGACATTCCTTAAGGTAGGCTTTGAGTATTTTGTAAAATAAGAAAATAATGTCCCCCTCCCGCACCCCCCCGCCCCCAGCTTGGTGATATTTTAGAGCCCAGCTCCTTTCAGTTTTCAGACTATGATTTTCACCATTTTTCCCCAAATGAAATCAAGGTCTAAACACATTTCACTATTTTCTTTTAAATGAAGATTCAGTGATTTAATAATTCAGATTCACTGACTTAAAAAATTGTATTTCCTTCAAGAATGTAACATGCTGTTGGAAAGGGAGCAGTTTTCTTTTTGCTATAACCAAAGAGATTAGAGAGGTTTTTCTTTAAGGATCATTTTCCAAGATTTGGTATGAGGAGCTCCTTTTGTGATGTTTACCATAGTCCGCAAACAAAACCCTAGGCATAAGCCTGCTCAGCCTAATCAGATTAGCTTGCTAGTACATGGGTGACCCAAATCTGACTGCTGTCAACAGAGAGTGGAAATAATTGCTTTGAACCAAGCTGAACCTGAGCCTGTGGTCATTGTGTGTAAATAACCAGTCATTGTGCTGGTCTGGCATTGTTGCTGTTGATTTAAAATTACACATTCCACTTATTAAATTTTAAAACCAGATGAGTTTATATTTATTTCTGACACTTGCTGCTTTTTTCTTAGAGTTTTCATGTGTGAGGATATAACTGAGCATGCAGATTCCTTGTCTGCAAGAAAGCCCACAGAGGGCTTCTGTACTTTTACATTGAACTTGACTGGTTAGAACCATTAACCCAGATGACTTCAACCAGATTGTTATGCAACTTTAAAATGTGAAGGTCTCTT